CATGTATGACAATCTCAATAGACCTTTCCCCTTTTGAGTGAAATTTTGATCTAGACAAGTCTGGACAAAAAGGCATATCTAGATCAAAATTTCACTCATAAGGGGAAAGGTCTATTACTAGAGATTGTAAGCAATGTTTTCCAGCATCATGGACTGTTACATAATTTGTGCATAATTTATATAAATTATATACCACACCTACCGCAAATGAGTCGCTTTTTTCTTAAGAAAATAAGAACATATTTAAGAACTTCTTACATGCGTGGTTTTACTGTATTCTTAATCGTTGTTATTTTTCAGACCGTATCTTCCTCGGACACCTTACCCTACAGCCAGCCATCATCACCACCAAATGCCTCCGCACTTAGACTCTATTGACTTCTTCCAAAGACTTTCAACTGAAACACTCTTTTTTATATTTTATTATCAGGAGGTGAGCCATATACGTATTTATAATTATCATAAATCATTTGGGTATATTATTCCATACTGAGCATGCAGCAAATTTCATTCCCCACTTATATGGAGTCATGATATTCTAGGGGACCCGGGCACAATATTTAGCTGCAAAAGCACTAAAGAAACAGTCTTGGAGATTTCATACAAAATACATGATGTGGTTTCAAAGACATGAAGAACCTAAAGCTATAACAGATGAATACGAACAGGTACAGTATATGGTAAAAAAATGTTCAGTCGAGAAGATTGCTTCAGAAGCACTTTGACTCCACCAAATACCATACATTTTAGTACGTTTCCTTCTTTAGTAACACTAGACCAATACCCCTAACTGGAGCTCAAGAAAGAACAGTTTAAAGAACTTGTACAGAGCTATATAGTATGAATATAGTTAGTGCAGTTCAGGTTTCCATTTACTGTTGCGAGAAATGTCTGGAACTCGTATAGTTATCAAGTTTAAAGTTACTTAACAAGGCCCTTACTAGATATCTAGGAGAACAACTCAACAGAACCGATACTTTTACCCTGTGTAAAGTTAGTTGAGTTTATCGCGATGTATATAAAACCAAAATTTATGAAGTGAAATGATTATGACAAAGCTTAGAAAAAAAAATTTTTTTCAGGGGACATATATATACTTTGATTATGAAAAATGGATGCAACGAAAGAAGGATGGCTTCACGTTTGAGTACAGATATCTCGAAGATAAGGATCTACCTTAAGCACAAATCTATGGCTAACCCGTCGAACGAGCGCCAATCAACGACGTATGTCTACTCACGTGACCCAAAACACCACGCTTTTTCATATTCCCGATCATGCGACAGGGGGAACATCGACTTCACTACTGTTGTGTTGCAATGTAAAGTTTTCCCCCCTGGTAGAGATTTTAACCTATGCATGCATGCGGTACAATGGCTTTACCTAATGACCGGCAAAGCTGGACATAGTTTTAGCTAGCAACTTAGTGAAATGGCGGTATTAAATAATGAACATAATGCCATTGTAAATATGACTGTTCAAATAAAATCTGGAACATTTTTCACGTACAAATTTAGGATTCTATGTCTTCTTGAGATTTTTAAAATTTGCAAGTAAAAATGGGTGCTTTCATACTTTGTGTTGTGATGTAATCTTCTTATTGGCGCAGATGTGATCTGTGGCACAGATCAGCGTTGATGTTCTACCTGCAGCAGACTTGTAGCAATGCTGTTACGAACAACTTGTCATCAGGAGTGTTCGCACTGCTTGTTCCCAGCTTGTTGACAAGTTGTCAACGGTTTGTTGACAACTTGCTACAAGGTTGTTGAGCTCAACAGATTTGTTACAGATTGTTTCAACAACTTGTGATCGTTCTGAAATTCAACAATTGGTCAACAAGTTGTGAGTGACATCCTTGTAGCAACTTGATAAAATGACAGCTTTGTTACAACTTGTTGACAAGCTTGCTATAAGCCTGTTGCGAACACATCTTGTTGACAAGTTGTGAGATTTTTGCACATGTAAAAACGCACAAGTTGTCACAGGTCTGCAAACAAGTTGTTACAAATCTGTTCACAAGCTGTCGACAAGTTGTGTCCGCACTGCTTGTTCCCAGTTGTTGTAACAAGTTTGGAACAAGCTGTTAACAACTTGTAACAAGCTTGATGGCATTATCAGACTTATTACAATGTTGTTCTAACAAGTTTGATGCAGTCATGATATAACAAGAATGTTACAAGGTTGACGACCCAAGGTTGTAACAATATTGATAAATACTTTATTTAAACTGTTAAAAATCCCATCAACAATGCTGCTGGTGTTAACGGGAGAACAGTGATTACAATTATCAACGATTGCATGTATACAATATAAACATGCATCCTAAATACTAAAATATGAGAATTGTTGTCAAGTTCTAAAAGATGCGCAGAAACAGTACGTTTAAATTTTGAGAGTGATATCAATTCTCTAATGTTTAATGGTAGAGAGTTCCAGTCTTTAGCACCAGCATGCTTGAAAGTAGATTGACGTATATTGTTGTATGTAGACTGTATTGTACTTGTTGGAACAACCTTGCAACAAGGCTGATAATGTCAAAAGGTTGTTACAAGTTGCTAACAACTTGTTCCTTACTTGTTACATCAACTTGAGACAAGCAGTGCGAACACAGCTTGTTGGCAGACTTGCTCAAGATGTGAGATTTTTACGCGTGTGCGTATATAAAAATCTCGCATCTTGTACAAGTCTGATGTCATCAAGCTTGTTACAAGTTGTTAACAGCTTGTTGCAAACTTGTTGACAACTTGGGACAAACAGTGCGAACACCACTTGTTGACGGCTTGTTAGCAGGCCGCCGAGAGAATTCGTGGGGCTCGGGGCAAATCTTCTCTGGGGGCCCCATGACATTTTTAAGCTAAACCCAAGTCAGTCGCTCAACTAGACCTCAACCTCGTACCCAGGGCTAGCCGCGAATTGAAGGCGGCCATATTAAAAAATCGGGCGGGCAGGCCCTGGGTACGAGGTTGACTAGACCTTAGCTAGACTGCATGTGGAGCTACTGTAATTGGCCCTCGATTTCAAAAATGCTCTGACCAAAAAGAACCTACTCGATTTTAGGCTGTCTCTCAAGTTGGGGCCTTATTAAGGTGGGGGCCCGGGGCAACCCCCCCTCCCTGCCTCCCTCCTCTCGGCGGCCCTGAGCAGACTGCTGGCAAGGTTGTTCTAACCAGTCCGATACAGTCATGATATAACAATATTGTTACAACGTTGTGTCGTCAACCTTATAACATTAGGGACCTTAAGCAAACAGGACGGCAACGCGACGACGACGGCTATTCACACAATGGTATTCCTGATCTCGTACAAAAGCGCCGAGCTTCTCTTGAGTGTTAATTCTGTTTTTGAATAGCTGGAGGGCTAGTGTCATACCTTACTCGGTGACTACTCGCCCTCCAGCTATTCAAAAACAGCATTGACACTCAAGAGAAGCTCAGATCACAGAGGAGAGACATACAGGGTTGTAACTAGTGTACCCACTTTTTTTGTGCGTATGCTCGGCAATTTACTAGATGCATGCATCTGATTGGATGATGACCTGATGGCGACTCACTTTAAACTTACTGAGCACGCGCAGTTGATCATTTTTTGCCCGGTCGCCTGAAAAAAATTGGGTACATGAAAACGTAAGCTTCCACGGTGTTTACAACGGTCAGTTACAGCTCTGTATGTCCCTCCTTTGTGCTCAGATTGAACCTCCACTCATTGAGTGTGAGTGTGAGTGAGCTTTTAGAATAACCCCGCTACAGCCTAGACCTAGGCCTTCTATTTTTATTTATATTTTTTTAATATTCAGCGCTTTTTCACATGAAAAGACCCCAGTCTTTTCATGTGAAAAAGCGCTGAATATTAAAATGTAAATAAAAATAGAAGGCCTAGGTCTAGGCTGGTCCCGCTATGCAAATATTTTCGTATTCATTGACTGTGAAAACAATTAATTTCTAAAGAAATGAATAAATGATAATAATTTTGAAATTGCATAGCGGAACTAAATTGTCAGGCCTGGCTACGCCACTGCTTGTCGCAAACTGTCGACAAGTTGTGTTCGCACTGCTTGTGGGAAATTGTTGTAAAAAAAGTTTGGAACAAGTTCTTAATTAACAAGCTTGCTTAATGGCATTATCAGACTAGTTACAAGGTTGTTCTAACAAGTCTGATGCAGTCATCAACAAGCCGTCAACAAGTTGTGTTCGCACAGCTTGCCCCAAGTTGTCAACAAGTATGGAACAACTTGTTAAACGTTGTAACAACTTTGTTGATATTATCAGACTTGTTACAAGGTTGTTCCAACAAGTTCGATACAGTCATGATATAACAATATTGTTACAACCTTGTGTCGTCAACCTTGTAACATTCTTGCTTCATCATAGACTTGCTACACACGCAAAAATCTCGTATCTTGTAACAAGTCTTCCAACAAGCCGTCAACAAGTTGTGTTCGCACTGCTTGTCCCAAGTTGTCAACAAGTTTGGAACAAGCTGTTAACAACTTGTAACAACCTTGATATTATCAGACTTGTTGCAAGGTTGTTCCAACAAGTCCGATACAGTTATGATATAACAATATTGTTACAACCTTGTGTCGTCAACCTAGTAACAAGTATGATAATGCCAACAAACTTGTTACAATTTGTTAACAGCTTGTTCTAAACTTGTTACAACAACTGGGAACAAGCAGTGCGAACACAACTTGTGAACAGATTTGTAACAACTTGTGCGTTTTTACGCGTGTACACACGTAAAAACGTACAAGTTGTTACAAGTCTGCAAACATGTTGTTACAAATCTGTTCACAAGCTGTCAACAAGTTGTCTTCGCACTGCTTGTTCCCAGTTGTTGGAACAAGTTTGGAACAAGCTGTTAACATCTTGGAACAAGCTTGATGGCGTTATCACACTTGTTACAAGGTTGTTCTAACAAGTCTGATACAGTCATGATATAACAAGAATGTTACAAGGTTGACGACACAAGATTATAACAATATTGCCATATCATGACTGTATCGGACTTGTTGGAACAACCTTGCAACAAGTCTGATATCAACAAGGTCGTTACAAATTGTTAACAGCTTGTTCCAAACTTGTTGACAACTTGTGACAAGCAGTGCGAAGACAACTTGTTGACGACTTGTTGATAGACTTGCTACAAGATGTGAGATTTTTGCGTGTGTAGTCGAGACTGGAAAAATTAGAATATGCATGTATTCCAATCTTTTATATTTGAAAGTTGCTCGAAGAACCGATTAGTTTCTGTACGGTGCAAAGTTCAACCTCAGTTCTCTCCTACTCCGGCCACCTCTTCAGTTCTTTCCTTGATAATATATAAACAATATTTTTGACCAATGCACGCTTATCATGAAAGACAAAAGTGTTGACATCATGAAAGACAAGTGTTTACGGGGACCTTCCTTCAACCCTGCTGGTATGGCTAATGCATGGTGGGCAAACCAGCGAAACATTCGCCTGAATTACGCTGTGACAAGTCGGCAATATTCTCGATGCTGTTAGGGGTGGATTTTCACCTTGCGGAATTTTGGGAGCGCGAATTTTTTTTGTTTTCGTTTGTGCAAATGTTTTTTCCGCATCAGAACGACCCGAATAAATTAATACTGCAAATGTTTCAATTTAGGGAAATTCCAAAACTGGCGAATACTTTTCGGAGTTTTAAAAATATTGGAGGCGAAACCAGGATTCATAATTAATTGTGTAAACGTTCGCTGGTTAAAAATATTTATTTTTTACAAGCTTTCGAAGACTGCACTGCAGACTGGCAGTCGAAATCTTGTAACAAATACTTTTAACCAGAGAACGTTTACACAATTAACTTTTTGGAGTGTAACAAAAAAATTCGATCGAGTTCATTTGCATGGTCAAGCCATAGAAATACTAGATATATTTATCTATTTTTTCTATGGATCAACGGCAGTGTACAAAACAAAGTTTCAAGAAGTGGTTTGATATTTTAAAAATATATAATTTCAAAACTATGTACAAGGTTTAAAGTAGCATTAGCTAGCCATAGGACGTTTTAAAAAAAGAACATTACGCAAATTCTTAGAATTACAAGCAGAATAATATTCGCCTAGCAATGTCATTCTTTTAAAATGCAAGAGTCTCTTTCTCATAAATAAAATCTAGCTAAGACTACTTTGGTATATTTCAGTTCGATAATTGTCTATTCATTTCTTCGCTGGCTTCTTCCCCTTTTTCGTGGGGGTTTTGGGCTTCTTGGCGGGCTTTTTGGCTGCGGGTTTCTTTGCAACTTTCTTTGGTGAACCTTTCTTCGCGGCTGGTTTCTTAGCTCCGGCCTTTTTGGTTTGGGTCTTTTTACCAGCGGCCTTCTTTTTCGGCGACTTCGTGCTCTTTTTGGGTTTTGCAGCGGGTTTTTTGGCGGCGGTTTTAGGTTTTGTTGGTTTCTTTGCCGGTTTCTTTGCTGGTTTCTTTGGTTCTGCCACGGGTTTGGCGGCTTTGAACGATCCAGAAGCCCCTGATCCTTTAGTTTGGGTAAGCGCTCCTGAAGTTACACCTCTCTTGAGAGCCAGTTTGACATGAACATCGGCACCTTCGCCAACCTTGTAATTCCCTTTGATGTATTTTAGGATGGCTTGTCGCGACGAACCGTTTCGTTCTTTCAAGGTAGTAATGGCTGCGACTATCATATCAATATACTTGGGATGTTCAGCAGGCTTAGTGGGCTTCTTAGCAGCGGGCTTTGGAGTTCCAGACATATTCGAGATAGTTTTGAATTACTTTTCAATCTTTTCAGCAATAGCTTCGCCTGTCTTCGTGTCTTCACTGATTTGATCGAGAGGAAAGCTCGCGGGCTTATATATGCTTCGGGTCGGACCTCTGCGTAAGCACCGCAACAAAACGCCAAATTCGATCCTCATGGAGGACAATTTTGTGCAACTTGTGCTTCTTTGCCAACTTTGTTTGCAATTTACGCACACCTCGAAGCGTTTAAAGCCACCAAAGGTACGTAAAACGGAACATTAATAACTAAATTTTATATTTCGACTTTTATATGTAAAAATTACACGCGCATTTGCTTGCAATTTGCGAAAATGCGACAAATTGTCATGTCAAGTAAACTCGGTAAGTTCACTCTTCTTCGTTCTGCGTTGCAAACAAGAGCGAATTCACACAGTTTTTGGTGTTTTCTTGAAGACTAGTTATCTATCTAAATGTCCAAGGCAGTGGACATGCGAAAACTAAATATTTTCGGGGAGAAAATTGGCGATGAATTTTGGCAACAAACACAAACGCGATGCCGCGGCCATGACAGTTAGATTCGTCGTTACACATTTTTTTGTTCAAATAGTGGCTAAAATAAAAGGGAAATTCTCCATACTTATTTAGAAGGTGTATCTAAGGTATTAAATTGTTATAGGGTCGCAAAAGGTTGTTTTCCTATAGCAGAACATGAAAAAATTTTGAATTTTAAGTTGGGCCTTGCAAATTCGATCCCCCGATCTGACCATGGTCGGATCAAAATTTTGGCGACTATCTATTATATTTCACTAAATTTTGTAAAATTTTAGCAGTTATTGTTGAAAAATAAACGAAAACCGCTTAACAGTACTTCTAAATATTATAATTTTTTTTTCTGATGAAAAAATCAAGTTCTTGAATAGGCAAATAATTTAGAAATCGCCAAACGAAGTTTGTGCTGAATTCACTCGCGTTTTTGTCAAATCGTCAAACTTGGCTTAGACAAGCAAATAATTTTATCGATTATTTTTATACTTTCTCTATTAAATGTTTATACGATTTTAAGTTTTATTGACTCAAGGAGGTAACATCTTCCAAAATATTTTAAATTTGTTCAATTTCTGTGCATAGGGAGCGAAAAACGTTGAGCTGAAATTTTAGGGTTTGTCAAAATTTGTGCGCCATTTTGCCTTTGTACAACATGTTGTACGAAATTTAAATGTAATATTTCTGCATCAATTTACGCGATTTTTTCCCAGTAATACCAAATTTGTAAAGAATATACTTGTTTCTTTACGTTTAAAGTGAAACAGCGCTTTTAAACTCGACAAATTGCCCACAAATCGGCGACAAATTTTTATTTTCAACAACAACATTTCATACGTTTGTTGTCCGATACAAAAGGAATTTGAAATCGATTCGAAGTTTCATTCTGAAATTCTAAGCCCGCTAAGGGAGTTATATCGATACAAAATAGAAACATAAGCCTTTTATAGAATTTTTGTGCATTTTTTATCAAGTTTCTTAGCTTTGAACAATGTTTTACAACGAATTTTTCCGCGTTATCAATTAGTGTTTTGTGGCGAGCTTTTGTCGAAGGGCCTTGACAAAGCGTCTCGATAGAAAAGTAACTTTTCCTTTATTTCTGTTGTTACAGTGACTGAGATAATTATTTTTACTTATATGGATTATAAAATGACTCCTTTTCTTTGTTTAATCACTTTTAAAGCGTGTCAAGCTTGCATTTGCGTCCACGGAGGTGCATTTGCAATCGAGCGACCTTCTTCTCCGCTTTGTCAAAACAACGGCCTCGCCAGGATTGCGCGCCCAAATTTCATACATGAATTTTGAATTGTCCGACGCGATTTTCTTTAATTTTATAAAAGAAATATCATTAAATATATGCTTTGAAACAACTTATACATTTAAAACTATGGCGAAGTGGCAAATTTTTTACAAATCATGAAATAATTTTCCCCCTCATTTTGACAGCCGATATTGTACAACAATGGCGGTTTATTAGAGAGTATCCCATCATATTACTTGGGATTTTTTTACAAATTTGCACAATCTAAGTAGATTGCAATGTTCGAAACACTTCATTCAAACATATTTTATTTGCTCTAAGGTTTCTGAGGTGAAAAACTTGCATAAAACACAATTTTTAGTGAGATACCTACATATCAAATGTTGACATTTATAGCTTGTATCAAATTTGTATACAATTCTGAGAACATGTAGAACAATCAATATATTCTCATTACTAATTTTAAGATTATAATTAGTATATTTTGCTCTATCAATTAAATTTGTTATTGAGCACTCTTTTTGTACAACGGACAACGATTTATTATTGTATATATATATATATATATATATATATATATATATATATATATATATATATATATATATATATATATATATATATATATATATATATATATATATATATATATATATATATATATATATATATATATATATATATATATACACAGGACCCATATAGGCTAGCTAGTATAAATGTCATAAAGAATAATAAAGTTTTGGTTGGCAAAAGTAACAGTAAACAAGTCAGGGCTCACATTGATACCAGTTCTTCTGAACTGACATGGCTACCCTGGTGGAATAAAGTTGATTTGCTTTGATAGAATGACAAGATCTATTTTAAATACAAGAAGATATGTTATTGGGTCATTCCAGAAAAGAATCACCCTGCCTACAAGGAAGAAATTTCTGCCATCCTGAGAGGGAGGGGAGAAAAAGTTGTTTCTCATAATAGTAAGCGTATTTGGACATCAAAAGGGGGTAGGGGGATTCACTTCCAATTTCCTCCATGGGGGAGGTATGGAATGTTTTCTGGAATGATCCATTGCCATATATTGTCTATCTTTTGATTTTGGATAGAATGTATAATTTGCCCTTGTGGAAAGTACGCCACTTTCAGGCTATAGAACAGGTGGCCACAGGAGCTCCGGCAGGTGGCACAAGGTTTACCGCCGGTTACTTTGTTTAGCACTTGAACAATCAATTCTGCTCTCCTTCCTCCACTCAAAGCTTTCAAACAAAGTCATTTTTCTTCAAACAGGTCTATTTTATGGCCCGGTTATTTTTGAAAAAACGACGTACTATTTCGTAAAACTGATTTTAGTTATTTGCCATCTTGAATCTTGAAATTATCTTGTTGAAGAATGAAAGTATAGTGATATTATAACATTATATTATAACTTGGTTACAGAGCTCAATATCATATGATCAATATACACTGGTTAATTTGGACCTTAAAACTCCCTGAATCCCCACAGCCGGCTACTTTATCAACACATGCAACCACCCACTCAGAATAATTCTTAAAGCCCTGTAGACTTGTAGTGTTAATACACATTATTTGGCTTATTTGTAATTATAAGTAAAATGGTATTTAATGTAGGGAGGATTGTGGCACAGTGCAACTGGTTTGGTTGACTGGTAATTGTTTCATCAGACACCTTAGCCTACCTTAGGGTACCTTAGCCTACCTTAGGGTATTTTACGCCAACTATTTTGTTGACCATATTCATGAGTTTTCTTTTATCTTTTTGCAGAATAGTCAGTCGGCAAGCAGGTTAAATTTGTGAAGGAAAATGTAAAGATGGATGGAGCCCAACAGATTGTCTAAGTGAAACAAGCAAAAAATGATATGTGTACGACTACCAAGGACAGGGGACATGCCAATGGTTGAGTGAAATTAATGGAGAAAGCTTGAGCATCATGTTTGGCCTTTACAAGGTAAATAGAAATTCAGAAATGATTTTGAATTCTCCCAAGGCATATTTTAACCTGCCCAAAATCTGAAAGTGTGCAGGGCCTGAAATTTACAGAATGTTAAATTTGGATAGTGGATATTTGTCCTTTCTTTCATGATTTTCTGCCTTTTTTGTTTGCGCATGTGTATATGTTCTTACTAGCAGGCTACAAGAGTTGCCTAAAAATATACAATATAAATTGTTAGAGTCAAAAACTTTAATGAATAGGGTGAATTAGTGTTTAATAGGATGATGTGTGTTGAATAAGGTGAATTGGTGTTAAATAGGGTGAATTGGTGTTAAATAGGGTAATGAGGTGTCAAATAGGGTAACATGGTGTCAAATAGGGTGAAGTATTCACTGGAAACAAATAGTGAAATTCATACTATGGAATTGGCAATTGCACTACTATATCCTTAGTATATCCATACTTTTTCCATACTATATCCATAGTATATCCATACTTTTTCCATACTATATCCATAGTATATCCATACTTTTTCCATACTATATCCATAGTATATCCATACTTTTTCCATACTATATCCATAGTATATCCATACTTTTTCCATGACTATATCCATAGTATATCCATACTTTTTCCATACTATATCCATAGTATATCCATACTTTTTCCATGACTATATCCATAGTATGGAAATTGCAATTAGTGTGGACATTAGATTTCCATACTACTTTCAACTAAGAGGATTTTGAAGAAAAATATCGCAATTCACACTCTTCTTCTTTACTCTGTCTATTAAATGCCAGACGTTCTATTTGTCGAAAGGAAAACTTTTTTGCATTACTATCAAGTGGTAGACATTTGTTTTGCTGGACGAGAAATTCATTACCTGTGTTGCCACTTCTTATGCGCAGGAAACGCGATCAAATTTTAACCCGTTGCGTTGCCCTAACTTAGCTCTCACAAACGCGCAAAATGCGAGTAAAATTTTAACCTTTGCTAATAAAAAACATTTCACTGGCAAACTTTTGCGAGTATGTTATTCAGGTAAATTGAGTAATTGAAAATTTCAGAAACATGATTTTTATTTGCGAGTCTCTGGCGACCGCAGACTGCGCAAGCTATCTATTACGGTCAGCGGTCTCATTAATACACATGCATGAAATTGATGTGCAAATAGTGATAAATTTCGCTAGTGACGTTGCACTTCATGCTAGTAACAGTGAAACCTACCAACACATGCTTGCTTTATAGTATAGGCAAAAAAATGGAGGTTCTACCCTTGGGCTTGGGTTAAAGTTGATGCCAATATTCAATAAGAATTCTGCTTTTTCGGATTGATTTTCAAATTGTAGTTATAATTACTACAGTAAAAACCAAAATTTTGCGTAAATAGGCAATTCCAGGTATAGACTAAATTTTGATCTCGGCAAGAAGAACAAAATCCATCACCACAGCTAGCAAGAGCATGTTAAAGTTAGTAAAATTGCATGCAAAGTTTGGTTGCGAAATGTTATAAAATGCGGAAAATATAGCCCTGCGAAATTTGCAAATTTTGTACTAATTTGTATTACGCGCGGAAAAATGCACCACATTTAGGCCGAAAGTGGTGCATTTTCCCGTACGTAATATAAATTAATACAAAATTTGCAAATTTCGCAGGGCTATATTTTACGCATTTTACAACATTTCGCAACCAAACTTTGCAATTTTACTAATTTTAACATGCTCTTTCTAGCTGTGGTGATGGATTTTGTTCTTCTTGCCTAGATCAAAATTTAGTCTACAGTTGGAATCATCCATTGATTTCTATCTTTAGTATTTACTTAGCTGTTTTCAGAAGTTCTATTAAATATGCTCTGGAACACATTCAATCATGCATGCGTGACGTATATACTAAATATTAATTGAAGCTAAACAAACAAATCTCAAAAGTGTTTTTCGAGGATAGCCTTTCTAATGAAGCTTTTTTAGTGTTTCAATAAAACTTAATAGGATTGAAATTGTATATTTAGTTTACTAGAATTTGCTTTTTTCGAGCGCTTAACCACGCAACTATGTCTATGCACCGGAATCGCAGGGCCACAAGTTTCATTCCTACCAGAGGGCCTATAGAGTATGTAGTTGCATTTTTGCAACTGTCAATTGCTCCCAATTATATAGCTTTACGTCGAATAAATGTATATTAAAATTTACACTTGAAATTTCAATCTTAAACCCTTCTTTAAAACACTTTGTAGTTTGTACCCTTACTTATATATGGACTTGCAAACGTTTTATGGGCGTGAAAACCATTGTCGTTAAAACTGAAAAATTCTGCTTTATTTTTAAAATATTCAGATTTCGATTTAAAGCAATATAATAACGTAAAAGTAAACCCTTTTGTCTATACACAACGTTAATGAAACGTTTTCATGATGGAACACACTTGTATATAGTGGTAGCCTACTATTTTATAAAAACGTTTCTATTCAGCCTTAAAAGCAAATTTATACTTTATTTCATTTGTTCCGGTTAATTCATTTTTTCACTTGAAATGTATAAACTTAGATTATAACGCCTGTATTCTAAAAGCTCACTCACGCTCACATTTAAAGAGTGGAGGTTCAATCTATCTGAGCTTCCCTTGAGTGTCAGTGCTGTTTTTGAATAACTGGAGGGTGAGTAGTCACATAATAAGGTACGACACTATACTTCCAGCTATTCAAAAACAGCACTGACACTCAAGGGAAGCTCCACTCTTTGAGTGTGAGTGCAGAGCTTTTAGAATATACAGGCGTTATATAGTCTATATATATAACCTAGTAAAATTACTATGAAAATTTAAAAGCGAACTTGTATTTTTTTGCGCTATATTAAACCTGACAGTATATATGTTCAAAAATTATAATTTTTTTGTGTTGATAGAATTTGCTTTATTTCATTCCATCTCATTTCATTCTTTCAATTTCGAACCTAATGAATAAACCTAATGAAATTATTAAGAATAAATGCACAAAGCCAAATGGGAAATTTATTTCTGAGCCATATTAAAAGTTCGTCTAATATTTTTGTTTTGCTAGAAATTGCTTTATTTCATCAGGCCTCATTTCTCATTATCTGGCCTCTTTTGTGTTTTTTAATCAAATGATAAATTGCCAAATAGCATTTAAACAATTATCAAATAACTCATTTAACATTGTGTGGGCCCATAAATGAATAAAAACGCGCGTTCTGGTCTAGGTTTCTATATTTCATCAATTATTTAAAGGGAATTTTTCGCTTCAAAGAATTAATCCGTGTGATGCTCCGTGTGATGCTATACGCAGCGAGCTACACAGAATTTTTATAATTTTACCAGATTTTTTTTGTAAGTATTAAGTCGTGGGATTTTAACTGCGCATTCCCACTTAAGCAAACAACATTTAAAGTTTAAATCGATTCTATTTGAAATTACATTTGGCAGGCAATCAAAGAAAAATAAAATGTTTGTTTAGTTTGAATGAGTTCTTCAAATCTTATTAACAGGCCTCGTGAGGTTGTAAACGGTATTTTCCCCCAAAACAGGCTTTAAAAACCCTTTTTCAGCTGTGTTTTATGATGTAAAGGGGTTTTTGTAGCGTTTTTCAGCGAAGTGTTTTATTATTTTCATTTTCTTGGTGTAAAGTAATTAATTGAGACTTTGCCCAAATAGAATTTCTTGCTTTTTGTGTGTTCCCAGCTGGCGCGCTACAATTATCCAGCTGTCGCAGTTATCTAACGCTTTTAAATTTTAATGAAATCATTCTTCGATATTTCGTATGTTTCTCCATGGAATTTCCACTTTGGAATCAAGTATTTAGATTTCCTTTAATGTATTTCGCTGAAAAATACACCGTGCTTCCACATGTTTTGTCGTGTTTTCGCTATTTTCTCGGCAACCGCGTTTTCTCGCAGCTTTTCCTCGTGTTTAAATTACCGTAGACACGATTAAACATTTTGCAATCTTGTTAATTAGTATTGTCATTAGATCAAAGCTCATTGGTTTAACGACGTTGTGTAGATTTTTGTTAGTATATACTTTTCACGCTGCGCTTATTGTTATGCACTTCGAGTCGTGAGCTGTCCAGGAGAACAACTTAGTACTGAAAATCACTTGAAAAGGACTTGTATATCCGAGCTTAACTACTCTCCAAGTATCTTTCAAGGTACTGAAGATAAAGGCCAAGGTAGGGCTATTGGACATAAAAGAACGCAGTGAAGTATTACCGAATAGAGATAAAAATCTCTTTCAAAAAGGAATTTCAACTTTTGTGAAGTTACTGCACTAGCCGCTGTGAATGCATTGCAGCTGAAAATCACTTCAAAAGTTCAGTAACACTATCCAAAAAGCTTTACAGAAGGCAAAAGTATTGGACACCTCAAAACCCACCGAGCCAAAATTATTGGATTAACTCGAAACCAAACAGGAACGTTGGGTGAAGACAAAACTGCTGTCAACTGCTATCTCGAAAGCAATTGAAGTCGAACTACCACCTCGAAAGCTTTTAAAGAAGCAGAAGTGTTTTCATTATGGAAGCGCCATCACATTTTTCAAAGCCTATATCAATGTCGTCCCATTCGTATCCAACGGTGCGTTATCGTAATCCCTATTTGATGGAGAACCGTTTCCATACAGTGATGTACACGCCATACGGGTATACTAGCGTACCGGTTAATGCTGAACCAAATTTTGTCAGATTTTCAAATCCAAGCGCAGCCAGCTCAAGTTATGAAAACTACGGCAATTCTGGACGTGCTTTGATCTTTTCGCCTTACTTGACTCGTAAGTGATTATATAGATAATTTTTGACTTCAAAGTTTTTTTTACGTACTTTATTTATACTGGATATTGTTCCATTAGCTCCAAACTTTTTTGAGATCCAGTAAGAGCAACGATCAATCTAACCTAAATGTCAGGCTAATGTTTTCCGATAGGACTGCTTGGTAGACCGCGAAAAAATATCGCCTTTCTTCTGCCCGATTTTCCTTTTAGCATAAGGCGGGATAAATATAGGCCGGGTATTCAGGTTACATTTACCCGGAGGAAATCTACTGGTGAGATCAACTGGCTGCCGAATTAATTAAGAATAGTGTGTGTGTGTGTGTGTGTGTGTGTGTGTGTGTAGTCCTCAAAGAGATCTGATCTTGTACAGAACTCTTTGCTGAGTTAAGCATGAGTAGATCATACAGAGGTAGTACATGTTCTTGAATGTGGACTATCTTAAAGTGATCTGATGGTGTACAGAATTCATTGCATGCTGAGTTAAACATGGTAAGATCGTACAGAGGTAGTACGTGTTTTTGAATGTAGGCTATCTTAAAGTGATCTGATAATGTATAGAATTCACTGCTGAGTTAAGCATGGTGAGATCGTATAAAGGTCGTACATGTTCTTGAATTAAAATTAACCATGTTTTGCAGAACTCTGGTTTATATGTTATATTTTGTTTTGTAGCTTGTCCCCGTGCGGGCCAGTCTCGTTATCAGCGACGCATGCGTATTCGTACCAACTTTTCTCAATGGCAAATTGATGAATTGGAAAGAGCTTTTGAGACAACACATTACCCCGATGTGTTTATGAGAGAATCTCTCGGTCTAAGACTGGATTTGACTGAGGCTAGAGTTCAGGTTAGTTGACTGTTTGACTCATCTTTGGCAGTAAATTGAAAATTACTTTATTTATCATTGTCTTATCCTCACCAACCACCATCATCACCAACCATCATCATTATCCGCAACCACCATCACCAACACCAACAACCATTACCAACAACCGTCATCACCAACCACCACCACTATCATCACCAATCGCCATTACCAATCACCGCCACCAGCCATTATTGTCATCCCCAACCACCACCACCATCATTACCAATCATCATAATCACCAATCCCCATTATCACCAACCACTATTATCACTATCATCACCAATTATCACCATCCACAATCATCTCCAACCACCATCATAATGTGTTAACTAGACACATGGGCAGATAGTCTGATTAACCATTGAGTACCAGCACTCTCTGGGGTTAGGGTAAGATAATAAAATAGTAGGGCGCATTGGGGCGAAATGCAACTTAATTTGTTAATAGAGGTGTTCCTGAGCTATGTTAATCTAAAAACATTGTACTTCATGTTAGGTTTGGTTCCAGAACCGCCGTGCAAAATGGCGTCGAAAGCAGCGAACTCTCGAGGAGGAGAATGGAAACGAGACATTAGCAGGCAGTGGGCCCGAGGAATGTTCAGGCAGTGTGGGTCAGAATGACGACACCCTACCACAGGAAACCCAAGTGAGAGAAATTGATGAAAACATTGATGTCGAAGACGAAGTGAAAGCAGAAAATCAAGATGAAGTGGAAAGCGGACAGGATGAAGAAACCATCTACGAAGTAAATGAAAGAAGCTATGAACTAAACGAAGGACGTTTGGGAAAATTATCACCAGATAATTTATCGTATGAAGAAGACACTAAAATTAACTCGCCACAAAATTTCTCGTATAATGAACGCGTTGAAACGAACTCACCAAAAAAATTCTTTTATGAAAATCACACCGAAGTCAGTTCGTCATCCAAAGAATTTGAAGTGAACAGAAATACGTACCATGTTCAGCCGACAGTCACACGCATGTTTTACCCTGCTCAGTTTGATATTTTCTCGCCTAGGAAAACCAGCGCACAGCAAGGTATCCGTCGTAAAGACGAACAGATATGTGTAGAGAATTCGCAAAACGAGTGTTCTTGTTGTTGCAAGAAATATACCTCGTAAGAATGTAGCAATTATAGAATGTAGTTCAATTCTAAAAATTATACATGACTTTAAGGGTGGGTTTTTCTTAAAATGTAGAATGATAGATGTTATTCAGATGGATAAATAATTAAAGAATTATTAATTTTCGTGATTTTTTTATTGTGTTTTGCCGGAAATAATTTATAAGTAACTTCTCTTAGTTTTTCCCATCTGAAGGCGTGCAGTGAAATAATGGAGCTAGCTTCGTTCATGTACATTATTAATATGATAGCATGCATTAATCATAAAAACGTCGATACTATTGTGTTTGTATTCTACGCACAATCCTAACTCAATGAGTAATGGCAAGGATCCCAGGAATGTAGGGATCCAGTGTGTGTAGTATTCTACAATGAGCTGCTATGGGTTGTGTCCGAACTATCTTTTATCATGTCCAGGTATAGTTCAGAGCCAAAAAACTTCTTTAAAGGACATTGGCAATAAAAATAGTTTGTCTCATGCAACAATACTCTTAAAATTATGTATTAAACTCTATATTTGTCATATCTTGCTTAGTTCTCAAAATATTTAGACCGAAATTAATGAGCTGTCTGCCGGCATCTTGGACTAATTCTTGACCTCATTAACTATGGTTTTGATGACGTCAGGAGTTGGGTTAACCATATAAAACTACTCTAAAATGACCGAGTAACATTCAAAAATTGTGTGAAATTTTTTAATCATTTATAAATTTCAGACAGCAATCAGAAACGAAGTTTTGGCCCATATTTATCGCGAGTTCGAATGAACTAATTTTTTATTGCCAATGTCCTTTAACACCAAACAATTTTTTTCTGGTATTATACCTATACGGTAAAGTCTCGTGATTTAAAAGGATTTTTCTCCTTAAATCTTAATACACCCTTCCGAAACATACATCACTTTGGCTATATGTTAGGCAAGATAAAGCTTTGCTCGTGCTACAGTCAAAACTGAAATGAGCACATCTTAGAATTTTATTGACTAGATATATCCACACTAGTGGTTGTTAGGTTGTGTACAAATTATGTTTAGTTTTAACTGATAAATATAAGCTCGGTAGTAATGTTGTTGGCTCATGTTGGATCTGATTTAAATTTGTTTAAAATTTAGATATAGTTTAGATAATTGACAATAGGTTCGGCACATGATAACAATGCCGTTTGAACTAGGTCCAAATTCAACAATTTTCTATAAATCCTATTAAGGAAAGAGATAAAATTTGTATTCTATATAACCGTATATTTTCAGCTGCCAATATTGCTTAGGAGACCAAATTTAATCGCAAAAATAATCTTGAAAAGGCAATTTCTTTCGGAGAGATCGAGATTTGTGCAGCTGCATGACGATAGAGGCGTTCACATATTTGAATGTTTGTCTACATCGATGTAAATACTTTCCCAAACAAAGCTAATTAAATGCGGAATAAAATGAAATGAGGTTATTCTATTGTCCACGCACAAACAGATGTTAAGCTATGCAAAGATTGTCAAGTTAAGGACTTAAAAATCGTTTAACCTTTTCATTGGGCAGCGCAATTAAAAAATCAATTTTGATTTTATGAATGGGTAATTTGCTAACAGCGATGTTATGACTTGTCAGTAATGAATTTAGAAGAAAATTTAATTAATTGTGCCGTCTTTGTAAAGTTGTGTTTTTAAAGTCCATTTTCACTCAAGAAAAATTTCCACGGACAGAAAATTTTCCAAAAATATCATTGTTATAAAAGTTGAGAATGTTCAGTTAAATTTCAGTAGATTCGCGTAGATTGAGACCTGAAATTCAAGTCTATTCAGCAACGTGATGCGATTTTTCAGTTTTTTGAAAGTAAATAAAACAGTCTGAAAAGCAGAGGCCCAGGCATACCGAACGCGATTCGAGAACGCTGCGCGAGTTTTCTGACTGGGCGTGTGCTAATCATCCTTACTTGCAGCTGAAAACAAAACTGAATTACGAATGACACAGCTCAACCTGATCGAGTCGAAGGCTTTCTAAGCACCCAGCACAATTTGGAAAAGTCATTGAATCTTGGCAATGAATTTCCGAACCCCACGGTGAAAACCCTGCACTTGATTACACATTTCCAGTTCACTTTTTACACATTACTCTGATTCTCCATTTATAATGCGAGCCTCTGGACTAGGGTACATTTTGATTTACGTTGGACAAAGCTACAGTTCAGTTGGACACCAATTCACTCGGGTCGGACAAACAATAAACCCCAGTTTCACTTAGGTCGGACAGAATGTCCGGTGGTTTCCTCTCTACGTCGGACAATTTCGCGAATGGGTCGAAATGAATCTCATTTTTTTGTCCGAATGGCAGTTGTTTTTGTATTTTTAAAATATTTTTTTCTTCGCTATATAGTCTTAAAATTTCCACAACGAATAGGAATTTCCAATAGCTTCAGTTTGATATATAGCCCAACGTTTGGGGTCAAGTATTTCAGCTCAAAACTCAGAACTGAAAACTATTTTGGCTTCAGCGAATCATAGGCCTTCATCATAGCAGTTATCGTTCCAGATTACTTATAGAGTTCACTGGTTGAATCTTCCTCAATCCGCAGTTTTCTGGTGTTTTTGTCACTACCCACGCCGCCACAGACACGAGTTTATATCATGAAGAAATATATTTAAAAGGAATATATACATGATAATATTTTGATATATTTTGTTCTAAGTTGTTTGACCCTTGTCTTAAATATTATTTACACATAGTTAAATATTTCAAAAGTCTCGTCTTCTCTTTTTTAGATCTCCGTCTTCTCAGTGGTGACGTCACTGGTTTGACTTGGAGATGACGTCATCGTCGCGCGTGAGGAGCACGCGTGACGTGGATAATGTTGATACAACACACGATCCAAATCCCAGCGAGAGAACATTGGGGTCACAAGAGGATGTCTAGGGACATGCGAGCAAAGTGGTTGTCGTCTGTTGATAGATGTCAATATTTCGGCGTCATAAGGTAAATGGGCAGGGTTATATCGGACATATGAGGAAGATTGGGGATAATAACGGGTATGTACGGAACTTGGTGGGTAATTACGAGTGTATGGAGAAGGACCGTCTTTCTTCATCCGGGCTCTGCGGTTTTGGAACCAAACCTAAAATATAAAAGGAACTTGAGTTCACATGTTCATGGTAATACGGACAGATATTTGTTGCGAACAGCGAGTTTAAAGTCGCGAAATAATAATAATGATATTTTATTATAGAAAATAAAGTGTTTTGTTTATTCTCTGCCACTAATAAAAGTGATAATCTCACATCATGATAATCGCAACGATTATCTCTCACTAAGTATTGGAGGATAATGTTTTTTTGCCTGGGTTTGAAGCAAATACATGAAGTAATATAAAGTTATGGTTCATTAAATATCTATCACATCTTTTCACTTAACTTTGATTTCGTTTTAACTGTGACATTATGGAATAGATTATGAAACAGAATGTTATTTTGTTAAGATAATCTTATCCAAACACAGGTTTTAAAATAATCTACATTTTCATTTGCATTTACATCATTTTATGTACTTAAATGTTTACCTTCGCATTAATTCTACTGTGCAATAATATTGTTACGCTCTGCCGCAACTGCCGTCTTTTGAATTGAATTTCAATCAAATAAGTTTGTCCCAAGTTTATTGCCATAAAAAGGGCTCGTGTGCATGCTTAAAGGCAGGGGGGGGGGGGGTGAAATGAGCGGGCGCCAGGTCGCCAAACGAAAGTTGCCAATTGCGAGCAAATTTTTCATCTGGCGATCAGATATTTGCCAAAGGTAGTCTTGACGGCGACTGAGAAAAAAAACTTAATATCTCAGTGATCAAGCATTTTATTCTGCTTTTGCATACAATATGCCGCCAACATATTAAACAACTGGGTTTTTTTTAAAAACACATTAATTTGGGGTGATCTGATATTAAATTTGGGGACCAGATCTTCTTCACTGGTAGCAACTTGGGCGACTAAATTTTTTTTAAATTTTAACCCCTGCTCCAGGGCACCACGCTGTAGTACTATATGTCTAAGACTCCAAATGCATCAATTTCCTACCTGCACTTGGATGTTTTCCATGTTAAGTCTTGCGGCCAATATTTTCTTCATTAATGTCGAAGGGTAGCAGTTCACTTCAAATGCTTCCTCGAGAACATCCACTTGCCATCTTTTATACGTAGCACGTCGTCTTCGCGTTACTGCGCCTGCTGAGAAATCAAGTCAGAACAATACTATTTATTGTTTGCTATAGCTGAAGCCCCCATATGAATTCACAATTGAGTAGACACTTCCCACCAAATTTGCTGGTTGGCAATAAAACTACCAAATTTTCAATGGGTTACATTGTACTTATCGTTTATTTTAACATAATATAGTAATTGTATAATATAGTAGTTGAATAATATAGTAGTAGCTGTGTGTGGATGTAATTTTTGTAACTCCATGTGTTATTGTTCAACGACCTCTTGAAAAACAGATATGTGTAGATTCTGAAGGGTTATCGTTGTAAAATATTTTTAAATAAATAAATTTGCAGTTTTTGCTGCGATTTCAAGATGCGATTTGTTCTTCTGATGGATGTGAACGAGTGAATGAGTTATGAATGTTCAGATGAGGGTACACATACTCAGAATATTCATAATCTATCCACTCGTTCACATCCATCAGAAGAAGAAAATCACAGAAAAAATTGCAATTGTAAACAGGCTTTAGTGTTAAACTATGGCGCTTTCCATTTAATGGCCTGACCGTTCAGATCCGAATTCTTTTCTCTGTATCAATGGGAAAATCTGGTCTATGTTTCTCAAATATCTAGCGAAAATGGACCTCATTCTAATGTTATCTAAATTTTCCTGTCAGATAGGTCCGAAGACCAAACATTTTGTGTTTCATTCAACAATTTGACCGTTCTGACCGGTCTGGCCGTGTTAATGGAAGCGCCCATAGTCCGTTCCCTCACACATTTCTTGCAAATCCTTCAAAACTTTTAAATTTACCCAATCCTTTAAAATTTACCTATGCAAAAGTCCTTTAAATCGTAAATTTAATTGTGAAGAATTGTTTATTATGTGTCCGACAAACTTGACAATATAAAGAGATGCCCTCCTCTATCTTCGATGTTGCGTTCATGCAGTCTAACTAGAAAATGCGTTATACTCGTCACAGAATGTATAGAGAATATATTGTCATGCATGTTTTTGGACTCTCTGGACTTAAGATTAAGACATTTATGTGAAGTCACACATCTATACTGCATTATGAGGAAGATACTCTATTTAAAGAATGATGAGTCATGTTTAATTATTTGCAATGTTTCCAGGCACGTGTTTGACCATCATTCTGATGACCCGCGGGTCTTCCCACGCAAGCGCATGTGGTATACACGCGGTCTGCCTACGCCAAGTTTGTTTTCATCTATAAACATGCGCTTATTAGATAATCCTGTTACCACCTCAATATGGTGTATGTATAATATAGAAAAAAATTTCTGCTTGATTGCACAATGTTCTCATGGACACCTCTTAGAATAATGCATTTAGAAATAAAGATTCTATATGAAGGCCAGTTCACATTTGGAATTTGCTGCGATTTTAGTTCCTGTTTTCTTTTTGTGATGAATGATACATGTGAACGAAGGTACACATACTTTTCGTACTAGACACTTCAAAAATTGTAATTGCAAAAAAATTGTAAAAATTGGACCATTGACCAACTTCTACCGTATCGAAGCGTAGCGTACCCCTTTGTTTCCTGAACACTAGAGTGGAACTAATCACTTCGACACAAAAGAAAATGCTACGATAGGATACGATACGGTTGAAGCCTTTAATAAAGTTGTAAGGAGTACATGTAGTATAGAATTCATATAGAGCTATTCAGTAAATGAATTCGAAGATCCAGTAAATGAAGTCAGTTTAGCTTTTCCAAACTCCTCCAAATTCATAGTTGAACGTCTGTAGTTTAACTGCAATTTTAGACAATACATCTCGCTAATTACAGTATAAAATAATAACACTGTTAAGAAAGTAATATCTCAATTGTTATAAAGATAAAATAGTCCAGGCTAAGTAAGTAATTAGGTAAGCGTATTACTTGATGTAAAGCATATTTGATCATATTCACACGTAAATTTTTTAAGAGCATTTTTGTCAGTAAATAATATTTTTGTCAGTAAATGATTTCGTGTTTCGTGCATATACATACAGTATATTCTATAGCTAATAGACCACTTTACATACCTTGTTCATTTGTAGACATTTCTGCATGATCGTCCTCCTCTGTTTCCGTTGAATTCTCATCCGCCTTCTTTCCAAATTCCTCGCGGTCACATCTCCTTTCATAAAACCCGCCGTCGGGATGAGCCTCATACCCAACCAAATGCGAAGTTCGCATTTCAGAATCGCACACTTGACAGTCTCTCCAATTTAAACAATAAGCCATCATTCCCTTACCCCTCAAAACTAACCGAGCTTTTAACCGAATTTTCCCCGGACCTTCCTTTTTATACCAGCATTTTTGCAAACACAGGTCCGCCCGCTCAGCCAATCAAATAACACGTTTTATTACTATAAAAGAATCTAATAAAATCTAATTTGCCCGCTTTTATTAAATTGTCGAGATTTTTTAACAGTCATTTGTTGATTTAGCTGGAAAGGTGTTCATATATTCGGCACCCAATATATATATTGGGGAAATGTTTATAAAACATATATAGTCGTTTCACTTTATTGCGCATTCAAACTTTAAATGCGTAAACAGTTTTTCGGTTTATTTGACGACACAGGTACTCATTAAGTTTGACAATTGTTTAAGTTTGTTAATAAAATGCCAATGTTAAATACGAGTGTGTTTTAGTTCATGAAATGCTAACTTGCTCTATATCATGCAACGCACAAGTTGTAACAAACCTGCAGCAGACTTGTAGCAATGCTGTTCCGACAACTTGTCAACAAGATGTGTTCGCACTGCTTGTCCCAGCTTGTTGACAAGTTGTCAGCGACTTGTTGACAACCTGCTACAAGGTTGTTGAGCTCAACAGACTTGTTACAGGTTGTTCCAGCAACTTGTCAACAGGATGTGTTCGCACTGCTTGTCCCAGCTTGTTGACAAGTTGTCAGCGACTTGTTGACAACCTGCTACAAGGTTGTTGAGCTCAACAGACTTGTTATAAATTGTTCCAACAACTTGTCAACAGGATGTGTTCGCACTGTTTGTTCCCAGCTTGTTGACAAGTTGTCAGCGACTTGTTGACAACTTGCTACAAGGTTGTTGAGCTCAACAGACTTGTTACAAGTTGTTGGATTTACAAGCTGTTCCAACAACTTGTTATCGTCCTGCTAAATGATATAAGAAGCTTCCCGCTGTAGTAAATATGAATGTTTTTGTATCTTTACTGGTTAAGGATAAAACCATCTGGAAAGTACGTCATAAGTACGCTATAGAGCCTCGTTTTCGTGATTAAGACGCTTGAGTTAACCATTGAAATGAATATAACTGCAACGCTACTACCTTCAGATAAACAGTCTATCTTTTTCTTGCGTGTTTAAATCATGGTTGACTGATTGACCGCGCTCTTCGCATGCGTGAAAAGACTGGGACTCGCCTTCAAGTTTGGCTTCAAATTTCCGGTTGAAGGTAGCGTTCCAGTTCTATTCAGTTCAATGAATTTAACTAATCTCTGGAAGACTGTATTGTGTACGACTAATCGTGTGGCCTACGTGACAATCATGGCACGGAATTAGTCCGAACTTCCTGTATAGGTCAGTGACGTGTCTCATGACGTAGGACCTACTCTGAAATATTTTCACTGACTTTCTTTAGCTAGTTCGAATATAATCCAAAACAGATTATAGATATAGAACACATTGTTTACACTACAAACCTGCGTTTAAACCTTAAGGTCTAACACCAAGTGTTCTTTCAAACGGGCATTAAATAAAAAAGTTCATTCTTAGATTATTTATGCACAATAGTAGACAATAACAACTCAAAACTTTTCAGACGAAACGTCAAGTTTGTGTGTGTTTATCAAACATTTATTTACTTATACAAGTGGTTTGTTTTCTATGGAGAATACCTCGACTATACCCGAATCGCGAATTTCGATTGCGCATCCAAATGTCGCGTTCTAGATCTGAGTCGGACTTTTGCCCGAATTAATAGTCCAGTCAAATCACTATAAGTACATGGTCCTGATCAAAGTAATCGCAATAGATAGTGGTAAATTAAGTGTGTGAAAAGTTGTTCTGATTAACATATTAAAAATAAAAAAAAATCCCTTCGGTGGAACGTGGTGAAAATCAAGTTTTTCTTACTTCTACCTATAGAAAACCATTGCGGACAAAATGTTGAAATTTTGAAATTATTTTTTTGCAAATATAACATGCATAATTAGAAAGCTTAGAAAAAAACTAAAATATAGATCATTAAACGGTTACCTTGCTTTTGCCTATCCAGCCGAAGTTATACAAGATTTAAAATGCCATAAACTTTGTATTTTGTGCAAATTTTGCGCTATTTTTCCAACTTTGAGCTAGAATAACGACAAACTGACCAGTATATTGAATATAACGGTGTAAAGGGTATTGCATGGCAACAAAAAATAACTTCGGAACCAGATGAGATAGAATAGAGCAGTAAACGGCCAATCGGCTTATTTTTTCATGCTCTTTCAGATAAAGCAATAATTTTTTTATTGCCAATGTCCTTTAATTGACCTTAATATAGTTTTGTTTAAGCTTTCCAATAATGTAGGTTACATTTGCCTAAAAATGATTTCAAAATTTGAACATTCTGTCCACAATGGTTTTCTATAGGTAGAAGTAAGAAAAACTTGATTTTCACCATGTTCCACCGAAGGGATTCTTTTTGTATTTTTAGTATGTTAATCAGGACATTTTCCCTCACATTTTACCACTGTCAGGGTTTTTTTCAGGGATTTTAAACGGCCCCAAAAACTCAATCTTGAATTGAGTTTTGAAACTCAATCTTCTCACCAAAGTTTCAGTGCAGTTGAGTTAAATTCGTGACTTGTGGAAATTAGTTTTCAGTTGGAAACCCGACAATTAAGAAAAAATGGCTGGAATTCATCTCACAACACAAGAAAAACTATGCATTCGCCATCTTTAACCAGTTTATAGTGTCCCTTAGTGCCCCTGCTTTAAAGTGCTTATGAAACGAAATTTTCGATTTTAATTTTTTGGTCTGTTCTGGTAGTATTTTGTGCGCTGAGCACAATGCGCTTGTTATTTTTTTATGTTTTTGGACATAAGCACCCCTTTTCAGCGTTTAAAAATTTGCATTTTTGAGAAAAAGGCATCCGGAGTCTGGGCCCGAGTCGTGACGTCACTGGTTAGAGTCGTGCTTGAACAACAACAGAAATTTATAGTAAAGTAGCTTGTTTTTAAACCAGAAAAATGTCTGATGTGTCTTCAGAATCCGATAATTCTGATCAGGTATCCGTTGGCAGCGTCAGTAGTGAACGATACAGTTCAAGCGATAGCGATGAGTACAAGTTTGAAGACAATTTCTTGCCTTATCAAGACGAGCCCTTGGCCAGCTCTAGTGACGACCAAACAGAAGAATTAAGCGATGAAGAACTCGATGAAGACGGGATTTCTCGACCTGTCTTGGAGCAACGATACGAAAAACAAATCCCACTTCAACAGTGGTAAGGATTTCATATTTTGCTGGTGAAAATTCTTCATCTCAAGCGATAAAATACTCAGGTTTTCTCATTGCTTTTTTTACTATAGGTGTACATGTGGTGGATGTGATGATTCGCTTCTTGTCGGCGCTCGTGAATTTCGATGCTGCAAGGAAATACTCGAAGCTACAGGGAAATTTACGTTCGAAGGGATGAATGCAGCATGTATTTTAAGCCACCATGACTTTGCTCCAATGACGAACCGAACAGTCCTGCTGCAAGTTGGACCTTTGCTAAGAGACAAGAGTGGGAAACGATACCAAAAGTCTGGCCATACAGAAAATGAGTAAGTGCCTGATTTTTCAATATAAAGTAATATTACTTATATTGATGCTACATAGATTATACTCTGTACATCACTACCATCTTTTGCAATCTTTTTCTTGATAGGTTTCTGCGAGCTGTTGCTTACAGATGGTTAGCAAGATGGCTGTTTGGGGAAATGGGATGGGAAAACACCAGACCTCTCTCTGCTTGCATATACCAAAAAATAAGGAAAACATTCGCCACAAGCAACACTGTTGGATACACTTCTGGTCAAGAAAGAGCAAGTGACCATTAAAGTTGGGGTATACTGTGACTGTATTTTAGGCCCTGTTTATATGAGACTGGGGCAACCGATGAAGTCTGACTGGGATGAAAATCAAGACCGATACTATCTTTCAATTTATTCCCCTTGCCCATCATTTTCTTACAGTGCTTTTGTGAGTATGCATTGTTCTGAAGCCAAGAGCACTGCCTAGATCAGTCTGAAATGTATTTGTGTTTACATTCACCCCACTCCAATTCATCGAGGCCTGAAGATAGTCAATTCAGCAAGCGGGATAGCTTCAGACCGGTCTGACCAATTTAATTTCGTCACAGCCTCATGTAGACATCTATTATAAATAATACTCTGGTCAAAATCAAATTTTCCCGGTTTGACTTCATCCCAGTCTAATGTAAACAAGGCCTTATTTTTAAATGACCTGTAGAACACTACTAAGGGCCTGTTTATATGGAAGCCGCCCGGCTGGCCCGCTTAGTGAGACAGGATGAATTTCTCTTGTGTTTACCGGGCTGTCTTGCTTAGCAGGCCAGCCCGGCTTCCATATAAACATATATGGGATCCAGGCCAGCTTGATAAGTGGCATGTATTCTGGCAAGAATAAATATTATCCTACTTGCTAGAATGATTAGGCAGTTAAAACAATAGCTAGCATTTTCCTATGAAAATATTTGTCTTAATTGTTTGTATGTCCAATTCACAAAGGAACTGTAGTGGCATGATAATATCTTGTTAAATAGTCACCCTACTCAATAGACCCTTCCAATGTTAGCAATGCTATAATTAAACACAATAGCTAGTGCAAGGGGTACAAACACAACAGAATTCCCTATATATAAATTTGCAAGGGGTGCAAACACAAGGGTGAAAATATTCAAATGGCATCTTTAACCTTGGAAGGGCCTATTGGCTGACCTGACTCCTTAATTTAGTTTCTATGATATGAATACAAGTTGACCATCCAGCCTTGCATAAGCTTTGTTAAATGCATGAGCTTTGGTAATAAATAATGGTCTTTGTTTTTGATACCAGAAATAGAAAAATAAACAACATTTACAAATTGACATGAAGTTTATGTCACCTAGAAATAAAGAGCTAAAACATAGATTATATACAATCCAAAGTTTTGAAAGTATTTAATCTTGATCAGAGATTGTCAGCATCATTCGTTACTGTCTGGGGGTGCAGTTGCTGCATCAGGGCAGTGAGACCGAGGATGACCTTTCATCGGTTGCTTGCACTTTTTACAGCATCTTGTTTTTTTTTGTTTTGGTTGTTGTTGTGCCTGCTTCTCTTTTGCCATCTCCTCAGTTTGTATTTCACCTGCAAATTTGAATTGGATTTAGTATATGTATTGGCAGGGTGTTAGTGCATTTTAATTAATAAGAGAAAATTGAATACCTGATGGGAACAATTCTGCTACTTTTCGTTTCCGAGCACTATTCCTTGTGATAGCATCGTCCCGAGGAGTTTTATTTGTGAATGTACTGTTTAACGGTTCAGGGACCTTTCTCTTGTACTTCTTCTTGATCTTGTCTAGGTCATCTTCAGAGGTATTAAACATAACCTCCCTCAGATCTTCTACATAGCCTATAAAGTAAAACATAAGAGAAATAACAAATTAGAGCATACTGTGTTTGAAAGGTATTGGATTAATTGTCATGTGACAAAAACAGATAGTCTGATTAGTCATTGTTTGATCAATGTTATTCAGTACAATATGTTCACAATTCAGACTTGAAAAAATTCTGGTTTCAAATTTGTAATTAGCCCATATGACCAAGATTACAAGATAATGCCTAAAGTAATGCCTTTACAAGTAAAATTGTCTAGTGTTACAGTTAGAGTAAAAAAGACAAAGTTGGGGGCTTTATGGGTTAACAAGACAGAAATTTTTACATCCAACATACCATATGTTGGCGGTACAGAAATATTTTGCACAACTTCCTCCCCAAATTTAAATTTTGGGTATGTCACGCTAACATAGTTCTTGCCATCTCTTGTTGTTTTTGTAGTCCGGTTCACATTCTCATTGAAGTGGAGGGTAGCAAGTATGTGCCTAAAGAGTAAAGATAAAAAAAAACAATACTAAATAACATTTCTACTTCAGGTTCAACTGAAAAGGCTATTTTCTAATTAGAGTATATTGTATTGGGGGGGGAGACATATTAGAAAAACATTACAGTACCTGCAATATGTCCCAAGCCATGAAAAGCAAATCATTTTTGGATGCCATTGATTCAGCGTGGAGTGAAATCCCTCCAATGAACTTGTTTGTGCATCAGGAGAGAGTTTCTTCAAACCGTTTAAAAAGGACTTCTTCATAATGATGCCCTGCAACTTGTCATAAGCCCTGGTTCCTACAATAGATATTCCCAAATGTCATTGTGCTACTGTCAGGGTCGTGCTGATTGGGG